TCGTGAAGTATGGGTGTTCATTAGGCAGAATAAATATGACTCAAACTAAGAAGAGTAAATTGGGTCCTGTCTTGATCTAGGATTGGGAAACAAGCTTTTGACATGTATATAGACTTTTCCCAAGACCAGTGATAACAAGCCCATTTTGAGTCATCTTCAAATTAGTTATTAACCTATTCCAACTGTATTTCCTTAGAATTAAAAATTTAATTTGGATCCAAAAGAGAGGCAAGGACAATTTTATATGTGTGTGTCTATTCTTTGTTGAGGTAACTTTGGTTTATAACCCAGTGTGTGATTTAAAGGTATGAGATCACCCCTTCAGGTGCGTGTTGCTGCACCACACCCACCACCAAGATACCCTTAGTCCCCCACTATAATCTTTCCCTCTCTCTTGACTCTGCTCTTCATCTTCTTCCTCCCTCTCTGGCAGCTTCCATTCAACAGTCAGATTTCCAGGTTTTGCTCTTGGTTTGGATTTATCTGACCCTTTGTTTTATTTTGTTTCTCTATATTCCATATATAAATGACACCATCCAGGATTTGTGTTCTCTTTTCTGAGTTATCTTGCTTAGCATAATCCTCTCCAGTTCCATCCATGTTGTCACAAAGAGCAAGAATTTCTATTTGATATAGCTGAATAAGTATGCTGTTGTGTATTTACACCAAAGTTCCTAATCCACTCATCTGTCTTTGTGTACTTAGGGTGTTACCATAGCTTAGCAATTATAAGTAGCATGGCAATAAGCATAGGAGTGCATATGTCCTTTTGAATTAGTATTTTTGCATTCTTCAGATAGATACGTGGGAGTGGACTTGCTGGATCATGTGATAGGCACCCAAGAACCAAGAAACACAAGTGTAAATTGTATACCTGTTTTCTAATGAAGGAAAGAGAGATGTTAATGCTAAACTGCCACATTCCTCCAATTCCCACACCAACTGATTCTGAGGGAGACATGTTACATTTAGTGGTGCCTGTATAAGTTCTATTAAGGCAAAAAAAAAAAAAAAGAGCAAACAACCGAAAAACACCATAGTACCTTGAATAATGGGTTTGACATTATTATTATTATTATACAGTAACATCAGTCAGTAGCTATTGGCCTAAAAATTCTGTGTCATATGTCTTTTTCCTACTCTAATGTGAACTTCAGTCCCTCAAATCATCACAGTTTTGTACGACCCTCTCCTATGATCCTCATTATACTGCAATTTGCTGATCTCATCGCAAAAAAAAAAAAAGAAAAAAGTGAAAAATCTTTACCAGGCAAATAGCAAATTACCCTGTAGGGTTGTCTGATGTTTCTGCACGTTGCAGAACAGAACGCTCCGGGACTGTATGTACAGACTGCTGCATATTTTACTTCAGATGGGTCAAAAAAGTCACCCTTTTGAGTGATGCTCCCTTCTAAATGTTCCAAATATTAGAATTCACAGGGTACTTTTCCTTCTCTCGTGCCAGAATGATCTAGATGAAGTGTGAAAAACCAATGGCTGTGTTGTCCAGACAAAACACGTGCTCAAGTAGATAGTATGGCCATCATTAAGTAATAGAATGCCTTCAATCCTATCACAACTAACAAATATTTAACTCTTGCAATATGTTTGGCTCCCACCCAATCACAAAGAATGTAAAGGTAAATAAAGCACATGCCTGCCCCCGAGGAATTCAGTCAAGTTATTGAGATTAGTTAGAATGCAATCAATACATATTATGAAAGAACAACAACAACAAAATAACATGGAAACACTAACCCCCAAAACAATGAGAAGTGAGCAGCTTTATTTAGGGAGTCAATGTGGATTCATGAAGCATCTCCAAGATCCAGGCACTGGCAGAGAGAAGTGCATAGAGATCCTCCCTTCAGATGGTGTAAGTGGAGCCAGAGAGATAAACTTGGAATAAATAAACGCATAAATCAAAGTCAATTAATTAGAATGTGCCATAAGGAGAAAAGCAGGGATGCTATAAAATAGAAAGATCAATAGAACTAATTAAAATCTAGAAATCAAGGAGGTAATTTATAGGAAAGACCATTACAGTTAAGACATGACAGATGAGCAGGCATTTGCCAAGAGGGAAGGTGGGGAAGAGAAATCTAGGGAGAGAGAGCAGAAGGAGCAAAGACCATGAGATGAGTTTTAAAGAGAATCCCATGTGTTTTGAATAGTGAACAAACAGTCTTATTTAATTAAAATATTTAATTAAACTTGTAATTAAATAAATTATATTAAACTAATAGGAAGACATAGGTAAAACTCATTAGTTTTTTTTTTATTTCTCTTACACTATTTTGCTATTTCTAAGCTCTTTAAGTTATCTGCATCTAATACTTCTGTATATTGGCAAAACAGGGAACTGGTGCACTGCTATGGATACCTTCCCACTCTACATTCAGTGAAATTGGCCGTAGAAAGTATGTGCACTATGGAAATCAGCAAATGCTACAAAGAAGGCTTCCCCCCCCCCCAGAATCAGCTGCTAATCACTTACCTGTACATTATTAAAAGAAAGGGCCAAGGTCTTTCAGAAATGGTTAATGAAAATAAAAGTATGGGTGTAGACAGAATATTTGCAACTACTTGCCCAGAACCTTTTGTTATGCTGTCATCCTCCTAAACATGACCCCCAAATTTCCCAACCAAGCAGTTTACAGTGTAATTGCTTTAGCTAGTTAGAACTAGGTTCTAACTGTCCAAAGCCCTGGCTCTTAACTCAAGCTATGACTACTGTGAACCTTGTTTCAAGATGAATTAATGATACTAATAAGGTCAATTGTGGGCATCAAGGCTAATTTTAAGTATTTCATTTGAGCTACCAGGACATATAACCTCTTATTCCTACTAGTCTGTACAAGAAGGTCCATAGCCTTGGAAAAGATAGTAAGCCATTGTGAAACCACAAATGAAAAGACTACTCGAATGAATATAAACTAAGGAAGCAGAACCAAAGTAAATATGAGGAAAACCAGATTCTAGAGCAAACAACATTGAACAATCTAATCTTAAACTTCCTGTGAATTAATGAAATTCTCTTTGCCTTTAGTCTGATAAAATGAGACTTTAGCTACTTGCCTCAGAATAACTCCTTTCTGATACGTAACTTGGGGTTTGCATGTAAGATGAGGTACCGCAAGAGAACGGTAACATACTTGGCCAATATATCATTACTATGTATGTTTATAGGTCTGATTCTCCACACAGAGAGCAAGCTCTTTATAAGCTGAAACCTTTTACTGCACATAGACATGTCTACAACTAACTTAACACTTTGCCCCTTATATAGTAAGTGTTTAATATTGTTTTACTTAATTAAATTGGGTGGTCAGGGACGATTGTGCAAGAAGTGGAGTGAATCACAGTTAATTCCTTTTCTTTGGCTAAGTGGTCAAGTTGAATCCATCTGCTGTCATTGTAAATGTCCCAGGGAGAAGGAAATAAAACAATGTGGTCCATGAGTCCAACAGTCCAATCTCTCTACTGGAGAAGGTCACAATTTTCTGTTGGAAGCAGTGAAAATTAGCCATTACTTTTAGTTAGCTTAAACACTAAGAAAACTCCTTTGGTGTATGTGTTCATGCTACATATCAGGATAAAAATTAAAACATGCTGTAAAATCTATGCATGTGATACCATGTGAGCAAAATACCCAGTTATTTAAGCAGACTTTTTATTGTCTATCCAGGAGTCTGGGGCATTATGTCAGGGAAGATGATGGCAACAAGTCTGACACTTCCAGAATGTTATGACACTGACTCTGAACAACACCCCTCCCTTAAGACTGGGAGACAGTCATAAGTATAAACAGGCAAATTGCATGAGTGTTTCCATCATATTTCAAGGCAGCAAGAGGACCTAACTGTGCAGATAGGACTGCTACCTCTGCTTTCCCACTTCCCATCTTTCTTGACAACCCTTTTGCTGATTACCATCAAAATATCCATTTTTTAAACTAGTACTCTCCATTTCCTAGGATATAAGCCCAGAGGGCAGGAGTTTTGTCTCTACTTTGTTCACCACTCTACTTGTAGCACCTAAAATAGACTATGACATATAATAGCTATTCAATATCTGTTGAACAAATCAGATGGTTTCAAAGATGGCAAGTTGCTAATTGAGTCATGAATCAGTGTCCTGGTGGGGGAAAAGTACCTTTTGGCCCTAAGTTAAATTAAAAAGACCCAGGGACTTGAGGGCTAGCTCAACTATGATCTAACTCTTTGACTGTAAACTATTTGATTGACATTATGTTTCTGGGCTTCTCCATTGGGAAGATGAGGGTAATATAGTACCAGCACTATATGCTTCAAAAAATTTTAAGTATCCCCAAAGAGGCAATAGTTATAAAGATACTCATGAAGGCTAAAAATGCAGTATGGAGCTTAGCATGAAGGTTTATAAAAATCAAACTACCTCAGTTGTACATGTGTTTGCTAAGATGGCAAAATCCTATTTCTCAATTTCTTATACACACTAGCAACCAACCACTCAATAGTTATCTGTGCTCCTACAACTTCCAGAACATTGCTATTATAACTTTCAATTATTTCCAAACAAAACTCCCATTTCTACACTTCAAGTCTAGCTTCAATGTCACAAAACTTTTAATGAAAAAAAATCATTATTATCAAGTCCATTCAAACTGATATTTAAAATTTTGAGATAACATTCTCCAGAGTAATGACCCTTCCTCCCACATGTTAATAGCAAACCAAGTCTTTCTGGTGTGAGGGGTCTACTTATACTCTTGCCATTTTCTCCTTTAAGACAAATCCTATCTGGCAGGGTTACCCTTCCAGTCCTTAAAAAAGAGACCCTGTACCTTTAATAACAGAGACCTGCTGAGAGGTTTCTTTCCAGACTAGTTCCCTAGCTTCCAAGTGACGAAACCAGCTGTAATTTGAGAGCAGAGAGATCCTCAGGATATCATTAGCCAAAGGAAAGGCTCCACATTCCCACCCAGCCCTGGAGTTGAAATAGTATCAGAGGGCAAGAGCTTTTCTTTCCAGCTTCAGGCTTCATCTCCCAGGAGCAACAGAGAAATCCGAGTGTGAGAGTGAGGTAACAAGACCAGCGTCCTGCCAGAGCTCTGGAGGACGCCCCTGGCCCCTCCTCGGGGTGATCCTGGGGGGAAGAGGGCCGGCTGAGCTCCAGCCACCCAGCACTGAGCTCCGAGAGCAGCGCGAAGGAGCGCATCCTGTGCCCTGGCCAGTGCTACCCAGGCACAGGAGCCACAGCCACATGAAGCCGGCTGGGGAGGAGGAGCCACGGTGCAGCCAGCCGACTGGGACTGAGACAGGCTCCCCCTCAGAGAGGCGCTGACTCCCAGGGGACCCCCTTCCTCCGGCCTCCTCGAAGTTTTCCAGGGGGGCCCGGTCATCCTGACTATCCAGGATGATGTTCCTCCAGATTCTCTGGATGGGTTTCTTTTGCCACCTGTGTCAGGGCTACTTCGATGGCCCTCTCTATCCAGAGATGTCCAACGGGACCCTGCACCACTACTTCGTGCCCGACGGGGACTATGAGGAGAACGATGATCCGGAGAAGTGCCAGCTGCTCTTCAGGGTGAGTGACCGAAGGCGCTGCTCCCAGGGGGAGGGGAGCCAGGCCAGCAGTCTGCTGAGCCTCACCCTTCGGGAGGAGTTCACTGTGCTGGGCCGCCAGGTGGAGGATGCTGGGCGCGTCCTGGAAGGCATCAGTAAGAGCATCTCCTACGACCTGGACGGGGAAGAGAGCTACAGCAAGTACCTGCGGCGGGAGTCGCACCAGATCGGGGACGCCTACTCCAACTCCGACAAGTCCCTCACGGAGCTGGAGAGCAAGTTCAGGCAGGGCCAGGAACAGGACAGCCGGCAGGAAAGTCGGCTCAACGACGACTTTTTGGGGATGCTCGTTCACACCAGGTCCCTGCTGAAGGAAACGCTTGCCATCTCCGCAGGGCTCAGGGACAAATACGAGCTGCTGGCCCTCACCATCAGGAGCCATGGGACCCGGTTAGGGCGACTGAAAAATGAGTATCTTAAAGTGTAGGTGAACGGGCATGCTGCCAGGGAGAGGGCATCCCACCAGCCCCCTTGTGCAGGGCAGGAGGTCAGAAAAGGGGGCTACTGTTCCTCTTAGAATTAAGATTTTTTTTTATATCCAGATTTGCCCTTGGAGAATGATAGACGTCACCTTTAGAAAGACGTGAGAGTTGAATGGTTTTGGTTTTGTACATTATTCATGTGATGGCTATTGATTTGCCACCTGAGAAGAACAAGTGAAACCAAGCCTCCTGCCTTTCCTCAAGACTTCCTTAGCTCTGCAGAGACACCTGATGCAGCCATCTCTAAAGGCACAGTGTTGGTGCAGTAGGAACTATCTATCCCCCACATCCTGCAGATGATGCAGCTACACCCAGAAGCCGTAGTGCTTACCTCCCTTCAGCCCTCAGCCTTCTCTTGGGCTCTGGAAGCTGCCATAGTTGCCTTTTTGCAGAGGATGACCCAAGCACTACTCCCATGCCTGCCAGAAGATGGAAGTTGACCCTTTCTTCTCCCTTTTTCTCTTATTTATTAACCAAGGTCTCCAAGGTTCTGTTTTTAAGTATTTTGTTTTTGTTTCTGGTAAGAGCATTATCAAGAAACTATATGTAAGTCATCCCTTCCGGGGAATCTCGGAGATGCCTATATGGCTGTGTGTAAGTTAGTGGCCACATTTCCATCTAAGCAAGTGGTGGTCATCCAGTCCTGTTGCTATGCTGATTTGTGTTGTCTCTTTTGTATGTTTATGCCACCAGTGCTGCAGTTCGTTGCAAACAAGTAGTTTGAACATACCCTAAATACCTATTTAGGTTACCAATGTATTATTTCTTGTTTGGGGGTTTTGCTTCTGTTTGCTTATTGGAGACTTGTATTTCAAGTAGAGGGGATTCCAATTCTAATAACTCATTCACTAAGTTTTATTATTCTGCCAATAAATATATTCTCTTATAGACTAGCTTATTTCCTAATTGATATCTAATTTAACTTTCATGTTGCCAAGAGGGACCAAGAAAAAGGCAAGAGAAGGGCGTGATTTAAGCCAGTTTACTTAGAATATATGATAAAGAATGCAGAGGGACAGCTACAAAGTTGGAAATCTCCCTCCTCTTCCCTGACCACCCTTGCCTTCCTTGAAAGAAGAAAAATAATCCAGCCTTGTTAGAATGCAATGTCTGCCAGTCTTCCTAAAGAGTCCAAATCTGTCCAGTTTCCCCCATGGAATCAACTGGAAAACTTTATTACAAGCTCAAATGGTATGCCCTCTTAAGGCAGAATTGGTTCCATTTTGAATTATAGAAACTATAATCATGTTTAGTAATTCAGAAGGCAGGTTGTTAATTAATGGCTTTAAAAGATGGAAACACTCGTTTCATGTGTTTCCCCACCCAGTCTTCACCTTCACCTTAAATGTACCTCCTTTTCACACATAGGCACACACACGTGTTCTCTCTCACACACACACATGATACATAAATGTTTGTAATCTGCTCTTCAATGGGGAGATATTTTAAAAATTTCTCATGCATGAGGAAACTGGTTTTCTTTCACTACGAATTTCCAGTATCTTCCTACTGCAGTAGGGGAAACTGAGGCCCATAAAGTGGCCTTTTTGTGGCATCCTCAGCCCGTAGTAACAGTTCCAGGTCTCTTAGATTTAAGTATAAGACTTTCCTACACTGCTTTTGGCAAGCATGCTGAGAGACCTGGACCTTTGCATAGCTACTTCATTGTTTAAAAGAAGAGCAGTCCATGGAATAATACTATCAATAATAATCTGTAATTTATTTTTGTCAAAGTTGGGCCTGCTTCTAGACTGGCATGTGGTCATGTTTAACTTCCCTTCTGTATTCTATGAAAAATGAGTGGGGAAAATACCATCAGAGGCAAAGGAGATGACATTTGATGATACGCTGTTGTAGCTGGAAGTCACAACCCTTCACGTCTGAAAACTTTCCTATCACTCACTGCACAATACTCAGGTCTAGTCCACACACATATTAAAGGCCATCTCCTTGACTTTCCCAGCAACACTAGCAAGATTAGACACCTGACACTGATGAAAAACTGGTTTCCTTATGCACACTAATTTCAGTTGGTTGGTAATGGATACATACAGTGTTATGTGGATTTAAAAGACACAGATGGCAAAGTACTCTCCTAGACTTGAGAAGCCTGCCATGGGAGCAGGTAGGGGAGTGGTGGTACATCTGCTGCAGTTTTGAAAACCTGAAATAGATCATGTCTAAGGTCCTTTCCAGTGCTGACATTCTCTGATTCCTACAATACCAGAACAAAATTATCTGACACTGAATCATTCATTCAAGGTTAGATATTCAGCTCCCAATCCCACTAGTAATATCTATGACCAAATAAAAGAAAAAGGTGGGAGGGCTGTCCTCTGGGACCACCAGCTATTCAAAATGCTGTCCTATAGAGAGTACCCAATAGCAATTTAGCTTTCTGGCTGCTGACAGTAAGAATCTGGTGGTTCCTCTCTGCAGAACCCTTCATTGGTACTTCCTCTGTGCAATGCATTGCTCAATACACTAATTCTTGAGCCTCTTACTCTGCCCATAGCAAAATCCATATAGCAAATTTTGACATTTTTGCAGGTATCTATCTAGAGTCTGTTGAAGATAGCAGACTGTGTTAATCTCTGCAACAACCAAAGCCAAGCTCATAGAGACGTCAGAAGCCAGCAGGTGTAGGTGTATTTTGGAAAAGGAAGCACCTAGAGGCTATCCAAGTTCACATATTTTTCATTGCCTTTTAAACTCCCGTTTACAGCTCTACTAAGGAAGGTCTCAAAATTCTGAGAACAGGCTTGATACTTAGAATATAAACTACTTTAACAAGTAATAAAAATATCCATGAAAACTACCAAAGATATGAAATCACCCTACAAAAGAATAGGCTCAAATTTTCATAGCACATTTTTCAGAGAATGAGTACTAAGATGTTCTGGAAAAGGAATAATACTTAGGTCTGAACTGTAAATACTAAATGTGTCACAAATGTTTTAATATCACAGGGAGAACAGTTGGAGACATAAGAAATGCATCACAAAGGTCGCCAACCACAAAGAATGGGATTCTGCAAAACAAATTGGTAATTCTAGAATTGGGATGATTGTTAGGAATACCATATCCAGATGCAGGATCCCAATGAACAGGTCATACATCAAATATTTTTAAATTGCCACCAGATGAGATATCGAAGATGGAAACAGTATATAGACAGTTGAGGGAAATCGACACCTGCACACAGAACTGTAACAGAGCAACATGAAGACCAGTGTCTGCGTGTGGTTCTAAGGGGGTGCAGCAAGAGTCTAAACTAGAGTTACCCTGAAAATGTGATGCAGTGTCAATAAAATAAGGATTTAGTATAATCACACTTTCAAAAGACACAGGGTTTCGTGGTCATTGTTTGTTGTTGTTTTCACCTTTGCAGTAACATTTTCTGAGGACAAAAGCCATAGCTGCTGACTTATAACTTTACTTACACAGAAATATACCAGCACAGAAATATACAAGCAAACCATGATCATTCATGTCCCCACCCCCTAAACACACACCCACTGTGTGCATTTTGCTATACTTGCTTTCAGTGCTTTACAGATGTATTTTTGTATATATTTTTCCTTAGGAAAAAAAATGATATTATAAAAACATATTGCATTATATCTAGCACCAGTTTTAGGCATTAAAAAATCCTTAATTGCACAAAACTTTCAAAAGTTTTTAAATCTACTGAGTGCCTCAGGAGGTGGAAATTCTGGGTTCTGGATTTTTACCTCGCCCTGTGCTAGCTGTGCAACTTTGAGCAATCCCTTCAACTGTACTAAATTTCATCCTGCCTGCAACAAGATATCTTCCATAAGGAAGGTCTCCCTCAGTAAGTAGGAGATATTTGAACTGAGCCTTAATAACAGCTAATATTTATTAAGCAGGCATGCTCGACATGTCTTCCATATGTCATTTTACATAATCCTCCTGGAATTATATTTCAGGTAGATATTTTATTTTCTGAAATGTTTGGATAAAGAAATTGAGGCACAAGGAGATTTGTCCAAGGTCTCACAGGGAGATAGAAATGAAGTGAAGATTCAAATGCAGGCAGCTGACTCATTGTCTGCCAGAGTAACCATTTATAATGCTTTCCCCTTCAAAAATCAGCACACCGGACATACAGTATCTCAACTCCCTTCTTGTTCTAGGATCCATGATACATGGCCAGTGAAAGGAACCGTTTCCTTACATAATGTTCTTAATTGAAAAATGCACACCCAATTTCCTTCAAGAAACATTGATCTCTAAGCTGATTTTATATTTCATGAAGTATATATTCCTTAACACTTGAATGTGTCACTCTGATTCTTTGGCTAGAATAACTGACTTCTTGCTAGATTGTATATCTTCTAAGCACTTTCACATACATTATCATAACAATGATATGTTTGATATCATTTGAGCACAACGGGTTTATAGATGCTGAACTGACCAGGAGAGTTCCTGGTATTTGCCATTGACAAATGGTAGCCAACACTCACAGCTAGAAAAGTGGTTCATAAGGACTGCCTGGAACGAAATATAAAGACTCCTTGCCCAGAGGCTGTTACCTTTCATGTATGCCCTTCTCTCGTTTGTTTGTTCAGTCCAAATACATTCATTGAATGCTTACTATGGATCAGGCATTGTTCCAGGATACAACTATCAGACAAAATCCATATCCTTCTTGATCTTACATTGAAATGTGTAAATTTAGTGAATCCATTGAGACTTCTCTAGTAAGGAAAACAGTAACAAATTAAAAGACATGCAATATGATGGGAAGCAGTGACATGCACTATTTTAGAAAAGATGGCTAAAGGACTCTCTGAATAAGTAGGAGATATTTGAACAGAGCTTTAAATCTTGAGCAGAATGCCAAGAATGTAAATATTAGGAAGAAGAGTGTTCCTGGTGAAAGAACAGAAAGTACAAAGTCCTTCAAGCAGAGATGATTTTATATGTGAGGGGGAAAAAAACAACAGCTAGTGTGACTAGCAGATTAAATCAGAGAAAGTTTTAAAGAAATTAAAGTCAGAAAGGAAAAGAGGCTAAATGCAGGAACTTACTGGTCCTAAGAACAGACATTATCCTAATTTTAAGACACTAGAAGCTCAAATGGGACAGATATTTGTATATTAATTGGATGGATTAGATGTAATATTCTTAACTATATAAATATTATTAATATATGTGCACATTCATGAATAATATTTGGAAATTATTTTAATTTCAATTATATTATTTCTCTTAGATTTTATTCTAATTTCAGTGCACTAGGGGTCTGAAAGGAATATGATCTGACTTAAACATACAAATACCTCTCTGGAGGGCTATCTTAGCACAACAGGAGTGGAAGCAGGAAGGCCATTAGTTTAGGTGGTTACGGTCACACTACTAAGAGCCGAGAGAATCCCTCTACGATGGCAGTGGTGAAGATGGCAAGAATTGGCCTTGATCCTCTACTATTATGCCTCAACTTGCTCTTTTGTTCCAAAATATATATCATTTTCCCAATTTTCTGTATTGATCCAGTTTCTGAACTCTTGGCTCTGTTGATTCTCTCCACCCCTTTGGATTTGATATTAGCATTGTTTCCTTTGAGTTCTTCACCATTTTCACCTCCTCTTGCAGATGGGTGGGTATGTATGAATGGAATCTACTCTAATGGCTGCAGCAGGCAGTATATGGCCCCACGCTGAGCTCTCTGACTCAGTCCCTACTCAGGCCCATTGGTCCAAGTCTGGCTCTCCTACTGGACAGGCTAGCATGACAGACCTGTGAAGGTGGACAGTTACCTGCAACCACAGGAATGCTTCATATTATTGACTATTTCACAAGAATAAATGGATTGCACCAAAATTTAGCTATTTGCCCTTACCGACAATCTCAAACTTCATC